TCTTTGTATCATGTAAGCCATTGACTAATGCAGGCAGTTTGGAGCTATCAAAATAAATTTTTTTAAACCCTGTATGAAAGTGAAAAAAAAACATGCTAGTCCATGGGGTCCAGCGTTGTCTTGTTTTGTAAGGAAAGTTCTCTACACTGCTCCTCTCCGTCACCGCCATTTTGAATTCATTATCGGTGCATCCACTGTAGGAGTTTTTACCAGGTCTACAAGGCCTGGCAGATCTCCATGGCATGTCTGCAAATGTGCTGGACCCCTTGCGCATGTACAAACACACTGCAGACTCCTGCCAGTAAACCTCATCCCATGATCTGCACCTGAAATACCCAGAGTGACCCACCTGCACTCCTGCATATGTGTTGAGTCTGGATACATCATCCTCGGCTTGGCGAGAATGATGAAAGTGAACTGTAGGGAAAAAAAAATACTTAAAAGAAATTTAAAGAAGGAATACTTTTTATTGGCTAAATTAATACAAGCATTAGGAGTCCCCTTTGATCCCTTTACACATCGGTTCATCTTTTGTTCCTCCTTGTAACCATTTTCAAAATTATATAAAGCCCAAAGATGGGACCCTGTAAGCGTGCAGCTTTAATACCTTTATGTATTTATATACAAAATCAAAACATTATTGCTATTGGCGTGGCAGTTTGTTTTATGAGACTGTAAAAACTGTTTACAGATGACTCTGCTTGTATTTCCTGTAGTGCTTGGTAAACAATGTGTCCCTTGGTTTAACACTAAAATGTCAGATCAGGTTTTTCTGGCTGTTTGAGTCCGTAAAGGCTCCCAGGGCAAGAGCAGGTGAGTTTGTAGAAGAGTAGTTCTTGGTGTCCAGTCTTACTTTAAGGGTTAGGCTAGTGTTGAGCTTACTTTAGGGGTTGGGTTAGTGTTGTGCTCACTTTAGGGGTTGGGTTGGTGTTGTGCTCACTTTAGGGGTTGGGTTGGTGTTGGACTCACTTTAGGGGTTGGGTTGGTGTTGGACTCACTTTAGGGGTTGGGTTGGTGTTGGGCTCACTTTAGGGGTTGGGTTGGTGTTGGGCTCACTTTAGGGGTTGGGTTTAGGTGTTGGTGTTGGACGCTCACTTTAGGGGTTGGGTGGTGTGCTCACTTTAGGGGTTGGGTTGGTGTTGTGCTCACTTTAGGGGTTGGTGTTGTGCTCACTTTAGGGGTTGGGTTAGTGTTGGACTCACTTTAGGGGTTGGTGTTGGTGTTGGACTCGCTTTAGGGGTTGGTTGGTGTTGGACTCACTTTAGGGGTTGGGTTAGGCTGTTGGACTCACTTTAGGGGTTGGGTTGGTGTTGGACTCACTTTAGGGGTTGGTTGGTGGTGTTGGACTCACTTTTAGGGGTTGGGGTGGTGGGGAAGGGCTCACTTTAGGGGTTGGGGTTGTGTTGGGCCTCACTTTGGGGGGTTGGGTTGGTGTTGGGCTCACTTTAGGGGTTGGGTTGGTGTTGGGCTCACTTTAGGGGTTGGGTTGGTCATCTTGGGCTCACTTTAGGTGGTGGAAGGGTTGGTGGGGGCTCACTTTAGGGGTTGGGTTTGTTGGGCTCACTTTAGGGGTTGGGTTGGTGTTGGGCTCACTTTAGGGGTTGGGTTGGGTTGGGCTCACTTTAGGGGTGCAGGGTTGGGTGTTTGTGCTCACTTTAGGGGTTGGGTTGGGCTCACTTTAGGGGTTGGGTTTGCTGGACTCACTTTAGAGTTGGGTTGGTGCTGTGCTCACTTTAGGGGTTGGGTTGGTGTTGTGCTCACTTTAGGGGTTGGGTTGGTGTTGGACTCACTTTAGGGGTTGGGTTGGTGTTGGACTCACTTTAGGGGTTGGGTTGGTGTTGGACTCACTTTAGGGGTTGGGTTGGTGTTGGACTCACTTTAGGGGTTGGGTTGGTGTTGTGCTCACTTTAGGGGTTGGGTTGGTGTTGTGCTCACTTTACGGGTTGGGTTGGTGTTGGACTCACTTTAGGGGTTGGGTTAGTGTTGGACTCACTTTAGGGGTTGGGTTAGTGTTGGACTCACTTTAGGGGTTGGGTTGGTTTGGTTGTGTTGGGCTCACTTTTGAGGTTAGATTAGTATTGGGCTTACTTAAAGTGGAGCTCCACCCAAAAGGGGAAGTTCCACTTTTAGGCTTCAGGCTTCATCCCCCACTCCCCGTTAAGGATTGGCAGCTTTGGGAAGCAGGGGTGGGTGTTTACCCTGAATTTGACAGGTAACCACTCCCACTTCTGCGATCATCTAGGTGATCGGAAGTGGAAGTTGTCCTCCTCCCTCCATCCCCATAGTCTTCTGGGACACATGACAGGTCCCAGAAGACTATGGGGCCAATCACAAAGTGCAGCGCTACTCGCACATGCGCAGTGGGCACCAAGCTTTGAGTCCGCAAGTTGTCACAGCCGGGTGCCCACACTGAAGATGCTGGTGCTAGAGACGCAGGGTGGCTGGTGAACCCGGCTGGTGTGAAACACACCGCTGAATCGATGGACAGGTGAGTTTCTTGTTTTATCAGCAGTTTTTGTAGCTGCTGACTTTTTTTTTTTTTTTTTTAATTTGGCAGCACCTCCGCTTTAAGGGATTGGGTTGGTCTTGGGCTCACTTATGGGGTCAGGTTGGTCTTGGGCTCACTTATGGGTTAGGTTAGTGCTGGGCTCACTTTAGGGGTTAGGTTAGTGCTGGGCTCGCTATAAGGGTTGGGTTAGTGCTGGGCTCGCTATAGGGGTTAGGTTAGTGCTGGGCTCGCTATAAGGGTTAGGTTAGTGCTGGGCTCGCTATAGGGGTTAGGTTAATGCTGGGCTCGCTATAGGGATTAGGTTAGTGCATGGCTCGCTATAGGGATTAGGTTAGTGCTGGGCTTGCTATAAGGGTTAGGTTAGTGCAGGGTTCACTTTATGGGTTAGGTTAGTGCAGGGCTCACTTTAGGGGTTAGGTTAGTGCAGGGCTCACTTTAGGGGTTAGGTTAGTGCTGGGCTCACTTTATGGGTTAGGTTAGTGCTGGGCTCACTTTATGGGTTAGGTGAGTGCAGGGCTCACCTTAGGGGTTAGGTTAGTGCTGGGCTCACCTTAGGGGTTAGGTTAGTGCTGGGCTCACTATAGGGGTTAGGTTAGTGCTGGGCTCACTATAGGGGTTAGGTTAGTGCTGGGCTCACTATAGGGGTTAGGTTAGTGCTGGGCTCACTATAGGGGTTAGGTTAGTGCTGGGCTCACTTTAGGGGTTAATTAGTGCTGGGTCACTTTAGCGGTTAGGTTCGTGTTGGATCCGCTTTAGCGGTTCGTGTTGGATCCGCTTTAGCGGTTCGTGTTGGATCCGCTTTAGCGGTTCGTGTTGGATCCGCTTTAGCGGTTCGTGTTGGATCCGCTTTAGCGGTTCGTGTTGGATCCGCTTTAGCGGTTAGGTTCGTGTGGATCCGCTTTAGCGGTTAGGTTCGTGTTGGATCCGCTTTAGCGATTAGGTTCTTGTTGGATCCGCTTTAGCGGTTAGGTTCGTGTTGGATCCGCTTTAGCGGTTAGGTTCTTGTTGGATCCGCTTTAGCGATTAGGTTCTTGTTGGATCCGCTTTAGCGGTTAGGTTCGTGTTGGATCCGCTTTAGCGGTTAGGTTCGTGTTGGATCCGCTTTAGCGGTTAGGTTCGTGTTGGATCCGCTTTAGCGGTTAGGTTCGTGTTGGATCCGCTTTAGCGGTTAGGTTCGTGTTGGATCCGCTTTAGCGGTTAGGTTCTTGTTGGATCCGCTTTAGCGATTAGGTTCTTGTTGGATCCGCTTTAGCGGTTAGGTTCTTGTTGGATCCGCTTTAGCGGTTAGGTTCGTGTTGGATCCGCTTTAGCGGTTCGTTTCGTGTTGGATCCCCTTTAAGGGTTCGGTTACTGTTGGGCTCACTTAGCAGATAGGTTAGTTAGGATTGGGAAAGGTTAGGCATTAAGGTCCTTTTAGTGGTGAAGTATTAAGATTCTATTCCAGAATGCTGACCAGCTATTCTCTGCACACTAATTCTCAACTTGTGCAAAAAAAAACTACCAGCACCAGGCACCCAGTGCTGACAAAAAGTATATCCATAAAATGCACCTATACTTTCCCAGTAGTCCGTATAAGAATAGGCTTTAAGGTGACCTCCAGCTTTCCCTTCAGTATTGCACAGTTGTATAGACTCCTCTCCTGGACTGAAATTTGCTTACTCTGATTTCACCGCACACTGTGCACTTCTCACAATGTGCTTTAGAAGCTGCAGCAAGTCAGCGCCAGACCATTTACTTCATGATAAGCTTGCTTACAAGGATCAGCTTGTATTTATTTCTATGAAACTTTTATCCCAAAAGGAACACAACTGTTTGCTGTAACTGTTTTTAAAGTGTGAGCTGGAGTGTGGCTTCAGTTTGTTAGTGCATTTAAATCTGCTATTGCAGTTAACACTCCCCTCCCCAAGATTGACAATGCTGCTGTCACAAGGTGCTCCTTCATCCACAATGGAGTTGCTGTAATACAGGAGGTATGTTACTGACCAGATCACCAGGTGAAAACAGAGGGGGAGGTGTAAAAAAAAGAAAATGAATGCAGCCACCCCATCAAATGATTGACAAGCTGCAATATATTACATTTTGGGTTTAATACCGCTTTAAAATATTTTGAATTTATTGTATTAAAAGTTTAATATAATATAATAGAATGTTATTGTTTTTTGAGATTTAGATGTCCGGGCCCCTGGACAGGCTCCCATGCCAGTGTTTATCTCCTAATCACTACTTCTGGCCCTTTTCTTTTCTTCCAGTACAACTCAGACAAAGCCATTGTGGACAGCGGCACAACACTCCTGCGTCTCCCAGACAAGGTCTTCAATGCCATGGTGGAAGCGATCATGCAAACATCTTTGGTAAGATCTTCCTATACAAAGAATAACTGCTGTCTCCTATGTGGGGGTCCAAAGAAGCCCAAATGGTCTTGTACACGTGTGGCAGGGGTGGACTGACCACTTGGAAACTGGGGCACTGCCCGAGGGCTCGTGGTCAGTAGAGGGTCCCATGAGATGCCCCTGATACCTTTTTCATAGGCTTTTTTGAGTTTGGGCAAGGACACAGGGGCCCCATGATCCCCTATTGCCCGGGGGCCCCCATGAATTGTCAGTCCGCCCCTGATGTGTGGTATAACACGAGGTTTACTACAAGAAACTGAAGGAATAATAAAGAAATTGGGTCTAGTTTACACCATGACAGTGCTGCCCCACACAGCAAAGAAAATCTGATGTTCTTAAAGCCAGACTTGAAATATGGTTTAACATATTGATGCAAATCTTCTTGGACTTGCTGATGCAGGAAGTGAAATTTTAGCTGTCATATTTTCCCAACCTTGCATTTTTTTTTTATAGGTAAATCTAATTGTAGGGAAAGTGAAGCAACATATCTTAACCATTGAAGTATTAGTCTGTGTATTGCCCTTCATTGCCAGGCCATTTTCTCAGTTTTTCATTCAGTTTGAATGACATTTACCTGGTCATACAACATTGTACCCAAATACATTTCATATTCTTTTTTTTTTTTTTTTTTTTATTGGTGATGTATAGTAACCACTAGGCTGTGTGTGTTTTGTTTGGGGGGGGGAGGTAGTTTTTTTTTTTTTTGTTCGCTTTTTAATTTTTTACCATATATAAAGATAAAAGGGCAACAAGTTTGGTTTGCTTACATTTACCCTTCAGTCCCACAACCATTGGTGATCAGTAGCACTTTAAAATCCTCTCCTTTATTAAAATAATGATCCCATCATCATTGCATCGTTTTTGGCCAGTAGCCCGTTAAAATCCCCCTACCATTATAGAAAAAAAAAACCACACACAATCATAGATGATCAGTGGCGCTTTAAAATCCCCCACCCCCCCCCCAAAAAAAAACAAAACCCATTGTCGTTGATGGCCAGTGGCCCTTAAAAATTCCCCCCACCTTTTAAAAAAAAAAAAAAACATGCATTCACTGGTGGTCATTGGAACGTTGAACACCCCCCCCCCCCCTTTAATAAAAACGACTTCATCTTCATTGGTGGCCAGTGCCCCTTCAACCCCCCCCACCTTAAAAAAAAAAAAAAAAAAAAAAAAACGTTCTCATTGGTGGTCAGTGATACTTTAAAATACCCCCACATTTAAAAACAAAAAATACCACACAATCATTGGTGGTCAGTGGCCCTTTAAGAACACAACACACAGACACATTCATCCTATTCACAATGGAGGAAGGGGCGCTGAATGTTTGTAAGTCCCTCCAGTGTGATGGCTGTAATTGGTCAACAGTGATCTCAAGGTACAGAGCTACTCTGACTGGCTCTGTACATTGTGATCTGAGCTGTCCAGTGGCATTCACGAGCACACTGGACATTCCAACTGTGGTTTCTGAAGTGCCATTTATAAATATAACTTCAAACCTACATGTTCACCACCCTTTTAATCTAAACCCAGAACAAAAATGTGACGGTTAGTTGCGGCATTAGATTTTTAGGTGCTATCCTTTTTTTTTCACCTGATGATCCTGCCAGGAACACACTTCCTCTCCTAGGGAGACAGCACTCTACTGTAGATACATAGATACTCAACTACACTGTACTGTATCTATGGAGGAGCAGCATTGTTACCTTTTGGGTGCTGCTGCTGTCCTGATTTGGACTAAACACATATCCCCTCACACCTTCATAACATAATGGGAGGAGATCTGTAGTTCACAGAAAAAATGAATGAGAGCTGCAAACACTGGTTGAGATAGTTTAGTACAGAGGAACTTAAATTTTTCTGCAAAGTAAAAAAAAAAAAAAGGTATTAGCAAATTTATTGGTCTCTTTGTACTTGCTGTTCTGGTGCATTGTATCAATGCAGGTACATTCACATCCATCATATTAGGGTACCCTATTCATTTGAGGCTTCTTACACACTACAAAAGACAAAACTCAAATGCACTTTTTTTTTTTTTCCCCGTGACGCAGCGTACCACAATGCACAGTAGTGCTCTGGCAGTACAATGCAGATTTGTCATGGTGCATTACTGCAACACTTGGGTATGAAGGGGCCCCTGGTGATCCAGTCCTGTGCTAGCAAAATCCTTTGTCAGGTCTTTCGCTAGTTACGAACGCTTGCTGTGCATACAGAGCCTCTACTCTTATGTGAAATATATTTGCATGTATGCTAGTTGGGCCCACTGCATGCCTCTAAGGCTTGGAGGATACACGTAAGGTAGTGGTGGTCAACTTTCTGGATACGGGGACCCTCAAGTGCTGCCACTGACATCACCAAAGGGCCCTACTTATACCAGCAGACATATAACAGAATATAGCCAAAGACTATGAGCATAATACAAAAAGTGGTCAGACTGCAGACGTGATACAAAAGATGTTTAGAAGCTGTGACCATGACACAAGATATGGTCAGAGACTGTGGGCATGAGACAAGGGATGATCCAGGACTGTGGGCATGGGACAAGGGATGATCCAGGACTACGGGCATGAGACAAGGGATGATCCAATCCAGGACTGTGGGCACAAGACAAGGGATGATCCAGGACTGTGGGCATGGGACAAGGGATGATCCAGGACTGTGGGCATGGGACAAGGGATGATCCAGGACTGTGGGCATGGGACAAGGGATGATCCAGGACTGTGGGCATGGGACAAGGGATGATCCAGGACTGTGGGCATGGGACAAGGGATGATCCAGGACTGGGGCATGGGACAAGGGATGATCCAGGACTGTGGGCATGGGACAAGGGATGATCCAGGACTGTGGGCATGGGACAAGGGATGATCCAGGACTGTGGGCATGGGACAAGGGATGATCCAGGACTGTGGGCATGGGACAAGGGATGATCCAGGACTGTGGGCATGGGACAAGGGATGATCCAGGACTGTGGGCATGGGACAAGGGATGATCCAGGACTGTGGGCATGGGACAAGGGATGATCCAGGACTGTGGGCATGGACAAGGGATGATCCAGGACTGTGGGCATGGGACAAGGGATGATCCAGGACTGTGGGCATGAGACCAGGGATGATCGAAGACCGTGGGCTTGGCTGAAGAGATGGTCAGACTGCAGACATATTGCAAGATATTTTTTGAAACTGGCCATGACACAAGAGATGATCAGAGACTGCGGACGAGTCACGAGATGATCAGAGACTGTGGGCATGATACAAGAGATGGTCAGAGACACTGGACATTATGCAAGAGATGATCAGAGACCACGGTGGATAAAAATCGATGATTTTTTTTTTTTTAAATCTGATTTTTTTATTTTTATCAAATTTATTTTAATAAAATGCTTTTGGAGTAAAAATCTATCTAAAGATTGTTTTTTTATTTAAGATACATTAATAATGTAGTTTATTCAGCATGAAATAGAGCTTAGTTATGTACCATGAGGCTGTATATTCTGCAATATTTACATTTTTGGTAAACTCATTCAATGAATCCAAGCTCTGCAAGCGGAGATAACATGCACTGCATTGATACATTCACACAATGTCACAGTAATCATGAGAAAAAACATGAAATAAAAGAATCTGAGTCGTTCTCCAGCTATGTGTGGTTAACCTATTAACCTAAAATCGGTTCTGATATATCGCTGTTTTACTAACCTGACCGCTTATAATTCTAAAAAGGAAACCTTCATTTGATTTGCAAATATTAAAGATTCTAACTACCAGCAAGAATGAGTCGGATTCCTTACATTTAAAGAGCACCTGTCATTTTAGATCCATCATGGCAGCGCCTGTTAGTGGGCATCCACTCATCTGCTGCCGCCACATCCCTCATCTTGTTGTGTCACTGCCACATCACCAGCCGTCCCATTAAAGTGAATGGGACTGTCGGGGAGTCAACAGCGGGTCAGAGGAGGTGCTAATGCGGGACAGAGATGACAGTTGCTCTTTAAAACTTATGATTTAAATTGAGGCTTTTCACTAGTGATTTAAATCAACTTGATTTAAATCCAATCCACCCTGTCAGAGATTGTGGGCATGATGCAAGAGATGATCAGAGACTGTGGGCATGACTCAAGAGATGGTCAGAGGCTGTGGGCATGTCACAAGATATGATCAAAGACTGTGGGCAGGATGCAAGAGATGATCAGAGACTGTGGGCAGGATGCAAGAGATGATCAGAGACTGTGGCCAGGATGCAAGAGATGATCAGAGACTGTGGCCAGGATGCAAGAGATGATCAGAGACTGTGGGCAGGATGCAAGAGATGATCAGAGACTGTGGGCAGGATGCAAGAGATGATCAGAGACTGTGGGCAGGATGCAAGAGATGATCAGAGACTGTGGGCAGGATGCAAGAGATGATCAGAGACTGTGGGCAGGATGCAAGAGATGATCAGAGACTGTGGGCATGACGCCAGGGATGGTCAGAGGCTGTGGGCACGACGCCAGGGATGGTCAGAGGCTGTGGGCGTGACGCCGGGGATGGTCAGAGGCTGTGGGCACGACGCCAGGGATGGTCAGAGGCTGTGGGCACGACGCAAGGGATGGTCAGAGGCTGTGGGCACGACGCCAGGGATGGTCAGAGGCTGTGGGCACGACGCCAGGGATGGTCAGAGGCTGTGGGCACGACGCCAGGGATGGTCAGAGGCTGTGGGCACGACGCAAGATATGGTCAGAGGCTGTGGGCACGACGCAAGATATGGTCAGAGGCTGTGGGCACGGCGCAAGATATGGTCAGAGGCTGTGGGCATGATGCTAGAGATGGTCAGAGGCTCGTAACATGCCTGGAGACCTATTACACCAGACTGCTAGACATCACTGCTATAACAGGGGGAATGAGGAAACACAGATACAGTCATGGCCGAAATTGTTGGCACCCTTGATATTTTTCCTGAAAATCAAGTATTTCACACAAAAAAGGTATTGCATTAACACATGTTTTGCTATACACATGTTTATATTCCCTTTGTATGTATTGGAACAAATATAAAACAGAGGCAGAAAAAAGCAAATATGACATAATGTCACACAAAACCCCAAAAATGGGCACAAAAGTAGGCACCCTTAACTTAATATTTGGTTGCACACCCTTTGGAAAACATAACTGAAATCAGTCGCTTCCTATAACCATCAATAAGCTTCTGACACCTCTCACCGGAATTTTGGACCACTCTTCCTTTGCAAACAGCTCCAGGTCTCTCTTATTGGAAGGACACCTTTTCCCAACAGCAATTTTAAGATCTCTCCACAGGTGTTCAATGGGATTTAGATCTGGGCTCATTGC